TTGATACCTTCTACAGATTGCTACTTACTCGAGTGTGATGTATTTTTAAGCAAATCGTAAAAACGAAGGCTGGTGAGTCTTGTGCGTAAACAGAGAGAACTGCCAGCGCGATATCGATAACGAAACGAGTCGTCACCCGGCAGACATCACTTTCGGTTTCACGGTTGATAAGCAAGAATGTTATGGCTTACATGAAACACGCAGAGTCAAGGAACTTTTGCACTGGTACGCTTCGATTACCGTTCTCCGTGCGAAAACAAATGCGAATTAAGATAATTCAATCAGACACTAATCCTTGACCCAACGACAATTTTGGTTCATCAAGTACTCGTCATGAAAGAAACGCTATATTGTATACAGTTACACACTTGAAAGCTTCAAGTCTGGCCGTAATATTTTTAAAGACCACAAAAAGAATAACGTGATTCGTTTCTTTCCTTGTAATTTACAAATTTTTTTAATATTTTACCACCGAGCTCGAATTTTCATCGAGCGACACAATGTAGATAACTGTAGATAAGGTAGGTCCCTGAAAACCCAAGTGTCGAATGCCACGATCGGTATCCTATCATATGTTCGTTTCCTATTACACAAATCGGGGATAATCTTATTGATATATTTATATAATAAAGACCACCGGAGTGATTCGAATACTAGGAATGATAAAATTGAAATTATGAATAATCGGAATAATAAAAATCGAAGCAAGTAATTCAAATAGCTTCGAACCGTCCAAATAATTTGATAGCCGGTTCAAAAATAAGTAACACGAACTGTATACATTGGTAAATATATACAGGAATTCGCCTCGTTCCCCAACTCGCCAAAATATCTCCTCGATGCTTTATATCTGTTTTCTAACATTACTTTCACGCTCCATACATCGAATAAAATGTATCTTATTATACGGAACGATTTCCCGATCGCGCAGTATGTTTGCGTAATGTCGTGATGCGCGGACACCTCTGCCAATCGCAGCTATGCGCACTCGTAAAAATTAACGTATGCTACATACTTGTTGCTTGTACGTATAAAACGCGTTCACGATTCTTACCCAAAAATTCACGTCCCCGTAATGTAACGTAGGTGAGGTTGGCTTTTATCGTTAATGCTGTACGTCACGCGTGCCAATTGTCGACGTACATTTTATACACCTGAGATAAGTTTACCGGAAATGCGTCACGAGTAACTTCTTTTGTACTTTGGGTTACCTCGACCAGATAAGGATGGAAATTCTTTTCCGCGTTCGGCTATCGAACCTAAATACTTTGCTACGAAACGAGTTTTACCATAAAAATTCTTCACTGCACCTCGGATAATATCGTTACCCGATTAAAAAAATTCTAGGGTTCTTTTTTTTTTCTTTAAACGAAATCGAAGGGAATCATCATGGAAGACGATCGTTGAATTTTGAGCAATCTAGAAACGATATTCGTTTCTTGAAATTGAATTCTTTATCGGAATTATTTTTCATAAAGTTACTAATAAATTCTACGTACGTAGTTGTTTCGAGTCATAAAAATAACTGTAGTTGAAAAGAATGCGACTAATGGAAAATGAGTACAGTTATTCTATTATAAATATGGGAAATAACGTATAAACGTAATAGACCGGAAGTAAGCACAGAAGATAGTATGTCAGGATGTCACGCTCGAGGATTTAACGAACGTTTAAGAAGTTTTGTTATTATTTACCTTCACAAGAGCCACGATACCATTCCTACGTGATTATTCGTGAACGCGTGATATTGTCCATGAAGTTAATCCTTCGTCGAAGAGCATCATGAATCAAACTGTTTCAAGGTATTTCGACCTTAATTGACGTCAACGGCAAATAAGCACAGGCTGGCCAATGGTCTGTTCACAAGTGACTATGAAACGTGGTGTTGGCTGCTCATGAAAACGGATATTTCTGTATTTCTGTCGAATCTCGACGAGTTTTCGGTCGACAAAGAGGGTACTATATAAATCCACTCGTAACCGTTCGAATTCGCATCGATCGGTGTAATATCGATAATTCTATTGGCAATTTTAAAATCGATGTTTTCGACAATGATAGTTCGGCACACCATTCGCGATACGAAAAAAACTAAACAACGAAACGTATTTCTGTAGAATGAAATAAAAAAAAAAGAATAAACCTTGGCAAAAGTCTTGAAGCTCGACCTGACTGAGAATGCAGGTAAGTTTTGCGTGCCAGGTATGTAGAAAGGACTACCAATAGCGACCCCGTCGTGCGTCTTTCGCCCAATCGAGAGGTAAGGTTAGTTCTCCCACTCGCGACGGAAAATATTACGCTACGAAAGCTACGTACTATACGTATAAAAGTGCAACGGTTATATCGTTTCGTTACTTCGATATACCATTATCCACGAGTCCCTTTCTTTGGGACATGGTTACCAGCACTTCGTTTCGTTCTATTTTATCGACGAATACGTGAAAGACAAGGTTAACGAACGTAAAGATACGTGATCACGAGCGAGCAACGAAGACAAAGAGATTGCGCGAGCTGTGGACGGTTATGACATCATAACCTATCAAGCAACTCGCCTCGAAAACAATTGTGACACGAAACTACCGTCTTATCATGCTACACTACTGCATGCTCGTATAGTAGAAAAGAAAGAAAGTTTGTTGCCGTCTGGTAAATCTGTTTGTCACAGTCTAACCTTTCCGTTTCTTTCCTGTTTGTCCCCCTAACCACACTCACTCTTTTTTCCGAATGACTACGTCACTGAATTTACGATGAAATCACAACCGGCAATTCAGCTATCGCGAAGCAGAAAATAATACCGTCTACGCGATGACTTACCGGTTTTCAGTTGATCGTCACATTTCCAGGTTGCCTCGAGTTACCAGCCGGTTGAATCACGTCGTCGTTCCGACACTGACGAACTTTTTCACGAAACGTTTACAGAGGCACAAGCACCGTGAATCAAATGATCACACCATGGCGCGCAGCAGCAGCCTGCAGGCCATCTTGAAGCCACCGACGAGGCACGCACACAATAAGCCCCGTCGAATCAGGCACATACGGTGTAAGGTCCTCCCAGAAGGACGGAAGACGATCGAGTGAATGCTCCGCTAAGTGGCGGCCATGATGGCGCCACTTGTCGAACGTTTCAAACTTGAACGAAATTCATCTTTCGATTCAAAAGACAATTCATTTTCATTGTATCGTACGTTGGTTGTAATACATTCTTTCGTGCAGTTCTATAAATCAAAAATTAAATCTCGCAATTATATTGTGCCTGATTTTCAAACAATGCTCGAACAGAGTCAAATTGCTACTTTGTCGCGCGGTGTAGCGATGGCGCCACCGGCTGATCTCGTGGCCGATTATTCAGATAATAAATATCTATTTTTCTTAATACGTAATTAATCTGTAAAAATTAAATACAAATAGCTAACGCTTTTATGATTGAAATTTTCATTCGTCACTTTATACAAGATATTCATATTTTTTCTACTATCGATCAATAAATTTTCTCGTTGGTTTCGCCAATTATGGCGGTAGTTCGAAATTATGCTAGATGCGTCTTCGATGTATCGAGTTGCAAGGGTTGGTAATTTTTCATTAAACGACTCACATGTTTCTCGTCTCTTTGCCTGCAACTAGATCGATAATCATCAGCTTAATTAGAAACTTGTGTCTCGTTTAAAAACGAATTACAAATACAAATTCGAGAAGTAATCCGATATACCGCGTGATATTAAACTATTACTACGTTGAAAAATGTTATCGATATATTGACTTATTTTGAAGTATTTTGCAATCAAAATTATATAGTACAGTTGCTCTGAAAGAACACCAATTACAAACCGTTTCTTTTATTCCTTATCTCGTCGAAGCTTGTAATCTGGCAAGATAATACGACTATTTTTCTTTTCCTGACATTTAGCGATTTTCTTTCAGCGCACCTGGCCGATCCATAACTTTCTTAAATAGATTTTATTCGAGCACTAAACAGTGATATCTACACTCTACAACAAACATTTTCGTCTGTTTTTCGTCGTTAGTGTAGCGTCTGCACACTTTTATCGTTATTTAACGACCACTGTCATTAGGAATCCCATATGAATAATGTAATAATAATCGTTATTGCTTGCCACTTTAACGGCGCCGTTAGACTTTTTATACAACGTTCCACCTGGACCTGTCGAAGAACGGAAGATTCCAGGCTTAAAGTAAGATCCAATAAATTAAAAGTTCATTGTTAATTAGGAGTACTTCCGTCCTCTGTCCAGGGCCACGTGTTCGATTATTCTCGCAGAAAATGGATATATTCTTGGCACATCGTAGTAAACTCTTAATAAACGCATTATGTATATAAATAAGTTATACAATCGATGGCTCAATAATCCTTACATTATTTCTCTCTCTGGCAGTTGATGTTTGATATTCGAAGACGAAAAAAAGATAGGAGAAAAATTCGCGCTGTTAACGTTATTCCTTTCCCGTTAGAAATCGATGTCCGTTCACCAGAGACAGAAATATGCCGTCACTTATTGCTCTTGTTAGTAATCGTAAACCGTAAGTTAATTACTTTTAATTGCTAGTACTTTCATAAACTTTCATCTTAGGAGCATCAACCGTAAGTACTAGTATTGACTTCGTGTTTATCGAACTCGTAACAGTGTACGTCACCTTCGAATTAATACTTCACCTCTAATACTTTCATTGTATATCAACAAGTAGACTCGCGTTTTCCAACTTACAGGCTAACGTCTTCGTACTATAGACTTAATGTTAAAACGAATCGTCGGATTCTGTACTGGAAGATTAATCGTGTTGCGTGTCATTGAATATTCCCGCAATATATTCATCAAAATCGTAATCGACTCTAAAAGTAACACCACCTACCGTTCCTCCATCTTGTAAACCGTATAGTAAGAAATCCATCGATACTTTCCCCGCTCGAACCATCTCCGGTTCCAACCTCTAACGTTTCATTCTCGATTCAATCTTACAGCTAGTCAAGGAAACAAAGGCTCGAATCTTTAATTCGATTCTCCACTGGCCACGGTGCCATCAGTCGGAGGTCCACCAGCTGTGACGCTTTGGGGGTCGGTCGTCGGAATTCCCGGCATATCCTGCACACCTTGGAACAATTTACCTGGGAATCCGTGCAACAAATCGTAGGAAACAGGTGTAGGTGGCAGAGCGGTGGTGTGAGCATGAGGCGACTGCAAAACCGCTATCACTCTTCTCAGCTCCTCCAAAGCGTTTCCTGTGCGGAGCGTGTAATTTGAAGGGAACGATTCGACGAACACAGGTGAAATTAAACGATCGCAAAGGTCGTCCTTTATACCTAAAGGTCGTCCTGCCGCTGTTACTTACCTTGCATGAGAATGTAATTCTTCGCCAGGAGCAGGGTGGCAATCTTGGACAATTTTCTCACGGACGGACTATGTGCGTAAGGAATTACAGATCGAAGTTCGTCGAGCGCGTCGTTTAAATCGTGCATTCTTCTGCGTTCCCTGGCGTTGATATTCAACCGCATGCTTTTCCCCTGGCGCGTGGTTTTCGATTTTGGCGGGCAGTTCAGTCTCGACGCACCGGGTCTGTCCGCGTGGGGAACATCGTGGTCGATAAACGTGTCGTTGGATCGGGTTAATTCGATCTTTATTATACACTTTCTGATACCTTTCTTGGTCTGGTCTGTTTTCATCGGAAAGAGCACTCGATGAGGCGTGCGGTTGGGGCTGCTGCTGGAAATAGAAACCGCCGAGGCCGACGGCACCCAAGGGAGTCCTCCTTCCAGGTGCACTCTGAGGGTGCTCGGACGAGTAACCAGCTGGAGGAGCGGAAACACTAGCGTGAGACGCTCCAGGTACTGAATACATGGACTCGAGCGAAGCTGCTGATTGCGGTGGCAATGGATGCTGAAGTAACGATAAAGCGGTGAATATAATTAGGGATAAATCGATCTCTGGCAAATATTCGTAAATTACTTAATCTCGTGTAAACATTCGTGCAAGAAATGTCGGTGAATATAATCGGTATTATGTTAGGATACATAATGATACACACGGCGGCACGATGCTCCCAGGCCCATGTAGGATGCGAGGCTGACCGCTGCCAAGATCCTTGTTGCAGATGCGCCTCGGGAAGGCCCTCTCTTCTGTCGTCGTCCTCCGTGGAGCTGCTCTCGCCGTCGTACGATCTCATCCTCGAACGATTCTCGTCCCGGTTCTAAACGTATTTCCTTCTATTTCGACACGGAGCTTGCACGGATCAACAGGGGCGGCTTCTTCGTGGACATGGAAACGTCGGTTGGTCGGTTATCATCGTTTACGCGTGAGTGACGCGAAGTATCGAGCGAACGGTATCATCGACAAGCATAACATAATCAATAGTAACCGCAACACTTACCGACAAATTTCTTTCCGCTGCCGGTCATGCACGGCGCAGGATCCCCCGAATGCAGCGAGGATCAGCAAAATTTTTTGCGCACCACCGCGTAACCGGCCATCCCTCCAACGTATATCCCTGTTCCGTCGTGGCACGATCGAGAATGGCGATCGATAGGGCTCGGATCGCGACGTTTCGCCTGGCCTCTTCGTATCCTTTGCCAGCAGTTTCACCCGGTGTAAATATGTCACTGTTTACGACTCAAACGACGCCAATCTCTGCCATGATACGCCGACGCTCGCGCGCTGCCAGCTGTTTGCCTCGCCTCCACGAGGCAGCGTTCGATCATTCACCCTCTGTTCGCCGTTTCTTTATTATCCAGTCAGCACACACGTGTCCCGCTATCGTCTACCGGTTTTCCTTTTTCCATCACTCGAGTCGATACATTTGTACTTAATGAAATTATCGCCCACAGACGAGACTCCTTCACACACACGGACCACGCACGCGTCTATTGTTTGCAGACGCCCTGCGCAGAGGGTGTACCGCCTGCAACCCCAAATGTAGTTCGAGCCTCCTCCGACAGGACGAGTGACCGTCGAACGCTGGATGCTGGCCTGGACCAACGACTGGCGAACCCTGGTGAACATCCGAATAAGTTCCAGGAGATGATGCACCCGCTTCTTACCATCCGAATAGGTCGATGCCCAGATGGACCGGGAAGGGCCCGTCATTCGGGGGGTGCAACGCGGCTTTTTGCCCCTTCGTCTCTCGGATGCTTCCCCTGACTCGAGGGGTGGCTCACTTTTATAGCGTTAACCGCTGCGAAACCATGTTCCCGTTTCTTCTTCGAAATTTACAAGCCTTTAGTGAACCACGCAGGTAGCTTAACGAAACACCATCCAAACTTTGCAACTCGTTCTCTCTCTACGATATTTTCACATAAATTTCCCGTACTCTCTATTCGTTAATCTTTCCTACCTCGTTCCTCTAATTTTCCATAAAATATTTGTCCTCGTGGAGGGTCCTGGACGAAGAGGGTCGAGGATGCAGGCGAATAAATTCATAGATATTCGTTGCACGCGCGCGATCCATGGTGCATATTGCTAATCGAAAGCCTGGAACTCGTCGGTTTATTCGTGTCCGAAGAAAGAAAAATTCGGGAACACGGGAATCGATGGGGGAAAAAAGGGAGAAGCGAAGGGCGAAGAGGCGAGGAGGGGCGGAGAAAATTTCATAAATGACAGGGGTGAGCAGCGGAAATGCATCGCGGAGTGTATCGCGATGCACGGGTCTCTGGCGTGTAACGTTGCAGATCAATTTTGCGAACAGCGAACAGGGTCTCGGTGTGGAGTACGAAATAACGACGGATCGACGGCTGACACGTTCTCTGGCGTGCGTTATACCTGACCGTGGGCATAATAACGCCGAAATCAAAACCGACTACGCGCACACACGTCGGGCCATATTGTTCGCTGCATCTGTCGTGTGCACACGACACACAGGGGGTTGTCATTCGCAACGAACACGTTCGACGAAAACTCTGTATCGCCGGCGTTCGACTCTCTCCTTTGCCTGGTACAATGCGAATTTTTCGCCGTCGCGTAAATGTTTTTGTGCTTCTCTTTTCTTTTTCTCTCTCTCTATTTTTTTTTCTCTTTTTTTTTATTCACCGTCCTCCTCTCCTTTTTCATTTGTTTTCGTTTTAATTAATACCACGGGAATCGAGGCAGTTCGCACGGCAAGCGAGCGGGTGGGGGTGGTAGCTAGGATTTTCGTCAGCTTTTATGTATAACTTGCGATGAACATTCGCGTTTCAAATGATACCTAGAATCGACGTGGTATTCCATTCGTCCTCCTCTTTCC